CAAAATGAAGTGACAGAACTTTCGGAACAACCTAATATTTGCTGGTAGCGAGTCTCAAAATATTTTAGACTACAGCTAGTTTACGGGAAGCACATCATTATGCCGTATCCTTGCAGTGATGAAGAGATAGTTAATCCGATATCCACTAAAGATAGGAGAGATATGACAGTTTGAACTTTCGCCATATTTTTTGGGAACATTGTACTGTCGAGTATTTTTGTCGGTTATCGTTGCTTCTACGTTGCCGACCTGCGTTTACAAATGGTGATTAGATAGTAAAATATAGTAGTGAAAGTTTGTAGTATAGAATTTAGTGGTATGGTTATTTGTACAATAGTGATACAAATATCAAAGTGCATCAGATTTACTGCATCCGTACTTTTCATAAGCTTTGCCGTACCCCTTACATCCCAAAGAACTGAAACTGGAAAACCGCTTTTTTTAGAAAGGATTATTCTTACTATAGATTGACAACATCCTATCATCATTCGGTGGAGCCGTTTGCCGCGAATCTGTTTTTGCTGCAAATTACGAACCACAAGTCGCTGTTTTTCTCCGAGATCGACGCTCTCAGGCTCTCACCTTACAGCTCACATCGCCTATATCATCCAGGCAAAGTAGTGAAAAAGAGAGAGAAGACTCTCCGCTAGAGTACAAAACGGAGTCGGTAAGTCCAATATTGGTAAAAATGATATAATCTTTTCCTAGATAATTGCTGTTTGAAGGAATGTTTGAATATGAGTCAATGGCTAGCAACAACGATCGGGATCTCAACTGCCGATGCTGCGGTAGTCGGACAAATATTGACTACGAGTGGCTTTGATAGGCCTACGCAACTAGTAAGAATTTCTTCCATCCATTTATGATTTAGACCTGATGGTCTTTTGATGTGCCTGTGCTGCCAAAAACATTGCTCGCAAAGTGCTTTGCTCGCAAGAATGAGGCTACGTCCAGAGTTTCAGTCCCAGCGCCACCAATGCCGTGCTAGCGCCGTGCTGGAAATGCCCAGTGTTGTCGATTATAACGCGATGCGTCCACGTGGGTCTGGCATGCACTAGTACGGCGCTGGGACGGAGCCGGAGCGGCGCTGGCACAGTGTTAATGGTGCCAGCACAGGGGTAACTCCGAACGCAGCCTGACAAGTTTGCTCGCTAAATAGACTGACATTCGCATATACTGTATACATACGCTTCATTTCAGTATGGGTGCCTTACTGCAAGGGAAATGTCTATCCTTGGCATTGACAAGAGCATCCAGCATCAAATTCTGTCATATCTTTCCACCGTGGACGATCCGCGACCCAATGCTAGTCAGTCACTCCTCGTTCGAGTGCATATAATGGATGTTAATTATAATTGCAGATAACTATAACTACGTTTCTGATTGGTTATGTTCGTTGGAACTTACCGATTACCTCGGAAACTTCGTTATAGCTGGGCTTAAATCAATGCTGGTTGTTCGGACAGCCGAACTTTCTCGGAAGCACTTGGAGGTAAATTCATGCACTGAGATCTGGTGTTTTATGGCAAACGCTGATTCCATTTATTTACTCATACACAGTGCTTAGTACAGAAACTTTTTCTGAAAACCATGTATTTCTTTCCTGGTGAAGCAACTTTACAATGTTTTGATATAGTCGTTGTAACTTTGTGGGTGTTAGGACCTTTTGCTTTACTCTCGATGTTTTTCGAATGCATGACAATCAGCTCAGCTAACATTGTCTTGTGAAAGAG